AAGTTAAATTAGATCAGGATCGTCCAGATCAAACGATAAACCGTAACTTGAAATCAAAACTTAAAATAACTTCTAAAATAAAGAACACATACACATTTTATTTAAAATATATGTTTTTTACGTTCAACTAATGTAGAAAAACATTCAAAAATTGTTATCAGCGTACTCTAAAGTACTCTATCGTACTAGCGTACTCTGTTTAGTAGGACCGCCCCGACCCTTTCAAAATCGTTTCTACGTCACTGCTATGACTGCGATTTTCGTGAATAAGAGATTTTATGAACATGAATAAATCAACTTGATTTAAATAATGGGGGATTGAACTTATAAAATATATATTGTTTATAAATTTGTGTATTGAAGGTGATTTAATCTAAAATAAAAAAATATATAATCCGTTTTCCGTTCCTCGTTTTAGCAACACCCCTCCAGAACCCTTATCATTTTTCATTATTTTATCCATTTCAATATTAGTATGTAAATTGTGGGGAGGTGGATTGGGTTAAACGATTGGGTACTAGATACACTCGTATTTTTAATATCCTGACGTTGATCGACTGACACGCCCCTATCCCAACTGTTTTCAGTGGATACGTATAACATTAAAAAAAAAATTATCTGTGTCTGCAATGGTACATGTATTAATAATACCATTATGGTTATTCAGAAAAAGTATCAAATATTAATTTACAAAGCCTTATACAATTTTATTAATAATGTTCTGAAAATAATTTGGACAAAATTTGATAGCCCCCCCCCCCCCCAATTTGAATAAATATGAATCCAGTCTTTTATAATGTTTATAGCCAGTTTTAAATTTTTACCACTTTGTACCGCAAACTAGCAAAGTTTTGGCTGCAGTTACAACTCATGTTTTCTTTGGGTGTGTGTGTGTGTGGCGGGGGGGGGGGGGGGTTAGTACCCTCCCCCGAATAATTTTGCCAATATTTATCGTGGAGGGTCCTATATAGGTGGGGTACTTAAATCGGAGGCATCTCCTTTTGAGCTGATGATTTTTAATGGGAGATCTGACTTTATCAATTAATGAATGTTACGTAACACAGTAGTTTAAAGTATGTAATGTAAAATAAAAAAATATGCCTAGGAATGACGGTGTTTGATTAACTCAAAAACACACTTAATTTATGAAACGTAAACAATTTACATGTAGATTGAAATTACCAATTATTTTTAAATTTGTTGAGAGCATGCAATCAAATACCTGTTTGTATTCTTATGTTTTCTCAACTGATGACAAAACAAGTTGCTAAGACACTAAGAAAACTACCTACGATTATATTGAAAATATATAATTTTAGTTAGTCATTCCTCCATGATTTTTCCCCTCACTTTTTTCATTATTACATGTTTCATATGTGTTTTTCTTTTCCTTTTCATATTCTGATTATGTATATCATATACTGGTTGTTTGGCTATGACAAAAAAGGTTGCCTGTTTCAAATTCCGATATTTCATTTTAAAAAATTAACTGAAGTTACCTGAAAACAATTAATTATCATTAAAAAATCGTATTCTATTAAAACAAAAAGCTGAAAAGCAGACCAAAAGGACATGTAACGAAACCTAGCGAGATCCGATCGTCCCTAGTGAGGTTGACAATTGTCTCACACTTATTGAGAAACATTACCTTACCTATCCCTTGACTTCCGTGGATGTCGTTGGGGCACCTTCGAAGACCTATCCACTACTTTTATCCATAAATCTCTGTTTTCTGTCGCTCTCTGGGTTTCTGCGAGGCTCAGTCCAGTCCACTCAGGGATGTTGTCTTCCCACCTCTTCTTTTGCCTTCCCCGTTTTCGTCCTCCTTTCACTGTGCCTTGCAGGATAGTCTTTGCAAGGCCACTTGAGCGTGAAACGTGGCCGTACCATCTTAGTTTCCGCTTCTTGACGATAGTGAGAAGGTCATCGTGAGGTCCTATGGCTTCTGTGACTGTCCTGCGGACCTCTGCATTGGTCACATGGTCCGTGTAATTGATGTCTAGTATCTTCCTATAGCATCTCATCTCAGTGCTAATAATCCTCTTTTCTAGCTCAGCAGTGAGAGTCTATGTCTCACAGAACAAGGGAACGCATTAACTGGATCTTTGAGCGTAGAGTGATGTTTCCGTCTCTCCAGATAGTTTGTAATTTCGCTAATGCTGCAATTGTTTGTGCAATCCTTGCTATAATTTCTGGTTTGGTGCCTTCGTCTGATATAATGGATCCGAGGTACTTGAATGACTTCACTGTCTCAAGCCATGTACCGCTGAACTTGACTTTTGAGGTGATGCCTTGAGTGTTGTTGGTCATCAACTTTGTTTTTTCTGCACTTATTTCCATACCATATGCAGAAGCTGCTTGGTCAAGGTGATTCATCAAGCTGGTTAGCTCTGTCTCTTTCCCTGCAAGGCCATCAATATCATCAGCGAATCGCAGGTTTGTGACGGTTCTTCCTCCGATGGAGACTGTGCCTTTATGATCATCAAGAGCATCATCCATAATCCTTTCAAGGAAGATGTTAAAGAGGGTGGGATAAAGCAGACAGCCTTGGCGTACTCCTACTGTTGTGCGGAATCAGTCACCAGTGCTATTGTTGAGGAGAATTGCACTAATAGCCTTGTTGTATAGCTCTTCAATCACTCGAACAAAGTTGGCATTGATGTTGTATTTCCTCATGGTGGTCCATAAGGCAGCATGCCACACTCTATCGAAGACTTTTTTGAAATCAATGAACACATGATAGAGGTCTTGTTGGTGTTGTAGGTACTTCTCGCAGATTATTCATAAATTGAATATCTGTTCGATGGTACTTCTTCCTGTTCTAAAGCCTGCTTGTTCTTCAGCAATGATGGTCTCTGTTGCAGGTTTCAGTCTATTTAAAATGATCGTCAGCATCACCTTGCTTGGGTGGCTTATTAAACTGATGGTCCGGTTGTAAATTGTTACACAGCTGTAGATTTCCTTTCTTTGGTAAGGTGATAATCAGTGATTGTGTTCTTGGAGTTGGCCATATTCCAGTACTCCAGATGTTGTTGCAGATGGCTGTAAGAGCTGTGATCATTGCTTCTCCTCCAGCCTTAACCAGTTCTGAGGGTATCACTATGTTGTCGATACCTGCTGATTTCTCTACTTTTATAGCATTGATTGCTGCCTCGACTTCTTCTCGTAGGATCGGAAGTGAATCCTCCTCTGTATTTGCCATTGGGCAGTTTAATACTGCTTGGTCTCCCTGAGCTGGTAGTTGTGTAGCTCAGAGCAGTATTCTGTCCATCTGTCTAGTATATCTTTCTCCTCAGTTAGGCATTTTCCGGACTTATTTTGGATGCTTGTCGGTCTTGTCTGTTTCTCCGTGGTGAGGTCTTTTACCACTTGATACGCCTTCTTAGTGTTGTTTCTTTGAAGGCTTTCTTCGATTTCAGAACATTGTTTTTCAATCCACATATTTTTTGCTTTATTCAACTCCTTCCTGACTTTGTTGTTTGCCTCTCTGTATTTCTGAGCTCCTTCTGGGTTGTCTTTCGTTTTTTTCAGCTCTCGTCTCCTGTCACATAGCTCCAAGATGCTGGCGGTAACCCATGGTTTTTTGGGGCGCTGGTGTTTCCCCAAAATCTCATTGGCTGATTTAACTATAGCGTCGTTGAAAGACTTGATCGCTGATTCAAGATCGAAGCTGTTTTCGTCCAGTGTAGTCAGGGCTGCAAATTTTCCTCTCTTTCAACTTGAAATTCATCTCTTATATTCGGATCTTTTAACTTCTCCAGGTTAAATCGAAGCCTGGTAAACTTGGATTTCCTGATTTGTTTTAGAGGGACTCTGAATGACATCATGACCAGACCGTGATCGCTTCCTATGTCCGCAAACATTGAAACATTGCACATAGACTTTACAGTGGTCTGAAAATGTAACAATTTTCCCAACATTTATTCTTCAAATGATGTCTTTTTTCATACTAGTATGTAAAAAAAAAATGCACTGTAGGATTAACAGAGATGAAAAAATGCAGCACTGAAATACGAAGTTACGAACAATAATTGAACTCAAAACTCCATTGAAACAAAACAAAATTTTGGATCTCTAAAACCATCGGAGGTGGAGGAATAAGCTTCCACTTTTATCATTTGATTCCAAGTACGAATAATTCTAAAACAGAGGAAGGTTATTATCGGATAAGTTGATGTTACAGGAATGTCAATACCCTCGTTTAAATTCAACTTAATTCTATGTTTGTTATGACCTTGTTGGAAAATGAAACCTAACCTTGGCTCATATTTTTGCTGACATGTTTATATTCCAACTGTTTGGTCAATTCGACTACAGAATGTCCGATCTACTTGATTAAAATTCATAGGACTCACCGGGGGTGTGTGAGGGGGGGGGGGTGAGTTCGGTTAACAGGGGATGCTTACTTCTCCTTATCCCATTTCTGGAATTTTCCGAGTCCGTGGTTACAGATTTGCATAGGTCATATTTTTTCAAGATCGAACCCTGTAACTTATCTTCATTTTTCATTTAATCAAATTTTTAAATAGTACTGAAATACACAGATAATTGATTGTTACCATACAGCCTGTCAATATCCTAACCATCTTAAAACTTATTTTCCAGATGCGTTGAAAGGTATACAAACAGATGTTTTTTTGACTTTCATGATGTCAAAACATGGCCATTAAAAAAAAATAATTATAATAAAAATCTTCCCTTTCACTTAGAATTTTTTACGAGATAAAATTTGTGACCTTTTTTTCCATTCTAGATGCCTCAAAATGTTGTGCGTGCTGAATTTTATTCATGCTGTATTTGATAGGATTGTAGTTGCTCTTCAAAAACTTACTCCACTAAACAAAGATTTGCGTACCTTTTTGTTAAAAACCAAATTTACGTAAAAGGCGTGAAAAGATTTGCTAGACTGATATGGAGATGCAGAACAACAGCAATGGAAGATCGAGCAAGAACAACCAACTCACTTTTTTTTGTCACGGAGGTACAGGTAACCGTTTTTATTATGATATAATATAAATCTACTTATTTATTATCAAATTACATTAATTTCTACATAATGTTGGCCTCATTGTGATTCCATCAAAATAATTCTCGGGACAATGATTTGAAAAAACAACTTACCTTCAAAATCACATAAATGCTTGCAAAGTAATCTGTCTATGTCGCAGTTTGTCTTAAAAAGCATCTACTTATTCTATTCATAATTTAGTATTCTTTCGTTTCGTGTTCATTCGTCAGCAGAATCAATCATATCGTGAAGTGACCATAAAATTTAAAAGTGTTTTGATACTGGCATTTCGACATAACATTTCTATTTTGATGTTCCTGTTTTGTTTGTTATACTATAACAATATATATACATTTGTACTAATTACATATGTAAAGTAAAAAAGAGAGCAACTACACAACAAAAAGACCTAAAAGTTAACAATTTATTTACATAAAGTACAATATGCACGTTTTCAGTATATGGAATACACGGAAAAACAGACTCTAAAACTATACATATACATGTATTTTAAATGAAAACCTTTCTTCCAGGACAATAGTTTTAATAATGCTGTTTCAGTTTTTGCTTTGCATTTAAGTTGTACAGGTACTTGATTATTTCCACTTTATTTTGAATATAAACGTAGACTATACACTACCTTAGATTTCATTGATAATGACTTAGTATTGAGAATCTCAAAACCTATATATTTAGGAATCTATGTGAAAAAGAACAAATTATGAATTGTCATGTTTTGTTTAAATGAATTTTGTAAAACAATTTGTTTTGGCAAAGGTTTTTTTAACATTATAAAATGTCTATATATATATATATATATATGAGGTCAGTGCGGTCATTTATCTAGTATAGAAAAACAATTCACATTCGTTGATCTGACAAAGTGAGAATCAGATAAATGTAATTCCAAACAATAAATTTTGATAGTTACGTTTTTTTAAAAAAAAAATATTTTAATCAACATGAATGAACAAACAAATAACAGTGGTGGTATCAGAGACTTCCCGCCTCTTGATTTTAGTTAACCTGCTAATGGCGGGAGTTGAACACGAAAATAAATATTTTATACATTTTTTTTTACTTTAAGGTAGGATTCTTCTCTGGTTTCTGACTAGATGAAACATTCAAATATTCAAAGTATATTTGCTTATATCTCTTAGATATCTAGATGTAAGAGATTTAAAAGATCATACTTTTCTTTTCTCATCACAATTGTACAACTTTAAATAGATATGGTAAACTGAGTTTAAAATCTAGAAGAAACTATATTTTTGGCGGAATGGTGGCGTATGAAAATATTTTCTTTTCTGATTCTCAAAATTATTGTAGAAAAATGAATTTAGTCATAATACACAATCAAAGACTTGAAGGATTTTCAATGTTAGTTATATTAAAGATAAGAAACTAAAGTTTTAAAATATATCAAATAAATATGATTTTCTAAACAAACTACAATTATATAAGCTTTAAGAAGCTGCCATTCTAAGTACAGATATGAGCCAAAAATCCATAGAAAGCGTTTTTACTCTCTTAGTAAACGGTCAAAACTTTTTGTTTTTGTATCATTTTGTATCTCTATATGACTTCTTTACCATAATTTAGAAATTTTAAATATAGGACACATATAAAAATAACTAATATATCCTCAAAATTTAAGAAAAATAGAGAAAATTCGGATTAGCCAAAATCCATTTTTGTTAAACTATTGGTGTCAATTTGGTAATATCATCTTATAGACCCTATATGGGAGCATCTTTTTATGTGAAAAGAAAACCATTTAATCTTTTGAAATAGAGGACCGTATCACACGATTGGTTGCAGTATTTTTTCATTCTTAATGTCCAGGTAAAAGGTAATGACCTTGATGTGACCCTGACTCTAATATAAAACGGTCAAAACTAATCTAACTGATACCATCACTTTGTGATATTGTTCTTCTTGATTCTGTGAAAATTTAAAATAATTTTTAAATACCGTATAAGTAGAATTTTTAGCGAGGATTTAATTTTGGCATTATTAGCGAGGGGTCTGACATCGCTAAAATTGAATATCGCTAAAAATTAATTGCGTATCATTTATGTTTGCTTCTTTAGTAAGCACTTTAAAATCGCTAAAATTACTTCTCGCTAAAATAAAATACCAGATTTTAGTTAGAAATCGCTAAATTTGCGTCTCGCTAAAATTTCCACTTATACGGTACATGTACAAGATATACAGTTTTGTGTGAGAGGAATCCTACCTTAAGAGATTTTTAATCATCACAACATAGAAAAATCAAACTTCAAAAATTAAAAATTCTAGTTCCCAAAATGCATGGTTCCAACAAAAATCAATTTTTGCATAACATTTGATTTAACAGTTGAGTCTAGATGAGCATCTTCAAAATTGACATACAGTGTTTTTCATAAAAGTTATGCTTATTTAAATTCCAAAGCAACAGCTTTAGATGTTAATATATATCAAATCTTGAATTCCAGGGATTATTGTATTCTTTATCATTTCCCACAATATCTTGATTTCTTTTTGTTCCGTATCCATTCTGTTTTTGAATTTGTTCTTTCTGTTTCCGCTTTTCTTTTTCTTTCGCTTTTCTACTATTGAATCGCCAAGCGTGCACCCCATATGCACAGAGCTCAACAAAAAATTGAACTACTTCAAATATGGCTAAAATAGAAAGACCGATCCACAAACCAATAGCTCCTCCGACATCTGACGCAAACTGGGCAGTCTACAAATACATAATAAATCTTCAATTTCAGTCGATAGATGTGATTAATCATTATAAATTGTTCTCATTAATTATTAAAAAAAGAAAAGAAATACTTTGATGTGAAACAGCCAAGTTTAGTTCCTTTTTAATGGATTACCAAGTTATACCTTAATAACTTCAAAAAATAGTGTACAAAAGGTTAAAACATACAGCTATTTCCGGTTCCTCTTGGAAATCTTCGTAGTTGAGATCCTCATAATAAATATTTACTTTTAAAAAGTTTAACCTAAAAATAGAAGCAGTTTAATTTAAATCCGAAACACAAAGACAAAACTGAAAAAAGGTTCCTTTTAATAACCGTTGAAATTCAAATTGAAAGCAAACCAAGCTTACCCCAGAGATCGTGGATCAACACTCAAGTTCACAATTCTCTCACACTTTAGGGGAAATTTCTCACATAATCCTTGCATTAAAGTTGTCTAAAAAGGACACAAATTTTCTGAAAATTTCTTATTTAAAACGAAATTCTTTCTCTCACATAAAATAAAATGTTGTTATCCCCTCCCCACCCCCTCCCCCCAAAAAATCATTTTTGTTTAAAAAGGACAGAATTTTTTGAAAATTTCTTATTAAAAAAAATTCTCTCACATAAAATATTTTGTTGGCATTTGGTTAGAATAAAAAAAAATCTTAAGTTTTTAAATCAAAACACTATCATTTTAAATTAAAACAATATCATTTCAAATTAAAATACTATCATTTTAAAAATTTTTATTTTCCTAAAAAATAAAAATAAGAAAGAAAACTAAAATTATTGCCTACTGCGTATTCTGTGGTGGGCCACTGTCGACTGCTGGGAAACAAAGAATACTTTTTCTCCCTGGAAAAGAAATTTTAACAAAGGATTTTAAAAGGCTATAAATTTTGGATTTGTTATGATTTTTTTTCCATTCTTCAAACAAATATAACTAGCAGATGCAAATAAATGCTTTTAAATCTCCTACAATTTATTAATTTTAATCCCAAAGGAAGTTTTTTGCTAAATTTGAAAACACACGGGAAGATTTTGAATAGGTCTTACTTGCATGGATTTAGACAAGCGCATTTCCTCTGTTGCGAATTAAATTCCCTCATGATTTTTGCAACGCACAGAATTTCTGCAGAATCAAATATTAGGAATGATCATTTAAAAGCACTCAGTAAATTATGATGTTATTGAATCAAACATTAAAATTAGCAAATCAACCGTTATTTTAATTTAAACAAAAGGATAAGAGTAATGTAAAGAAAATAAAGAATGGAGTTCTACATTTTGCTTAAAATATATAATTTGAAAACGAAAATATATGAAACCACATCATATCCCGATTAATAACCCATTTAAATATAAGATTTGACATAATAAATGACGGGAAAGGAATAAACATCTACAAACCAGAAACTTCAAATTTACTCAGATGATTTACAAGATAATAATACACATATCCTGGATAATGATTATCATTCACATGTACATGCCTTTCTTGCCTCTGATTAATAAAGTTAATGATAGTTTTCCATTATGTACCTTTTTGTGTCCGGCACCATTTATTTTTATTGGTGTTATTGGTAAAATGAAAGAACTCCTTGTATTCATGGGAATAACACGTACATTCGCTCAACATAGCCGATTGTTCACAGAAAATACGGCACACCTGCGAAAAATGTTTAAGAGTGTCATTAAAATCTCCAAGCTCCATAAAAATACATTTGCTTAGGTGATGAAGGAGTGGCGAGTACTTACTGATCTTGAATATTCTACTTTATTCTTTGCCTTAAAGTCATTGCCATCTTCGCAATATCTGTGAGGCGGTGTGATGCGGGTTATGTCTGTCTGTCAGAAGAATACAAGTCATGAAATTATATTCAAAAGACCGATTCTCTTCTGTGAAATTCAATTTTTAACAAAGATCAAGACCTATTTACATAAGTATATTTATATCTTACCAAACGTAAACCAATATGTGTTTCAAATGAAGATGAAATGTAAATTCCCTCTTGGGCTGGCATAGGAAAGGAACCAACATCGTGGATCTGTAAACGCATGCCATAGCCTTGACTTATTCCTGTGAGGAACTCTTCATTTTCAGTATAAAATATTAGCGTCAACCCTGAAAAATTAAGGACCAGAATAGATTCAGATACTGCTAAAACACCTAAAACACAGCAAATTCAGACAGTATAATATTACTAGAACACAGGAAACTCAGATACTGGTAAAAGTTCAAATCATTTATCTACATATATAAGTTTAAAGATTGTAAATTATAAATTGTAACACCAAAATATAATTAACGGAGCTTGCCGTAACAAAATCTAACTCACCAGAAGATGGGCCCGGATTCTTTGACACAAATGTAGTCGACTGTATTGTGAAGCAATTTCCATAGTCTGGAGTATTTACCAATGTGAAATTCCTGGAGAAAAATTGCATGATAGTATACTTGTTGTCTGGGAGACTTTTTACTCTTTGCATCTTATTCTTTCTAAGTTGAAATCCTTAATAAGGTAGATGGTTTTTGATTTCATATTACATTATTTTCAGATACATGACTCTAGTCAATCTTACATAGGGAAGCATTTGTAGCCATTGAAAGAACATGACAATAGCATGTCTCCAATCTGATGTCCGGCATTGACTCTGACCATCCTAAAAAATAGATGACAACAAATATATCATGTAGCATTATTTAATCATTTACCAAGTTTTAATCATAGATTGCTGGATGTGTCTCGATAAAGGTTACTTAAAAAATCGGACTTGGATCTTGGTTACAATTTTTGTATGATTTTGCAATCAACAGTCATCGTATATACGAATGGATGTAAATGAATGAATGAATAATAATCTTTAAAAAAATCCATCACAAATATATATACCTCGGCATTGCCAGATAGAGATTTTTAAAAGTGCTCTCCACTTTGTAAAGGTCATCCCTCTTGGCGTCCTTGAACCCTTCATCCCTGTAATCAGGGTCCTCGTAATAGTCCCCGTAGTCCGTCAGATTGTCAAAATTAAAATTCTCGAAATCTTCAACAAATCTTTTCTTCCTCTTAAAACAGAACAAGAGCATTATATTAGAATATAGTAAGGATTTTTTTTTATATCTCAGCTCTATACAAGTTACTAGAACCACAATATGCGTCATATTTCCGACGAAGGTGCTAACAAAGAAAACAAAACAAGAAATCTGCACTGAATACCTTTTTTAAAAAACAATATATTATCTTGTGTATAGAAAATGTATTCATATTTACAAACCGCTTCGACATTCTAAGAAGAAATAAATGGTTATACCGATGACTTTGCCTAATGTCTTTATTTCTTCTAAGAAAGGAAGCGTTTGTTTCAGCTTGATTTGAAAAGTTTATAAACATTATATTCAAAACAGATTGGCAAAAACTAAACAAATCTCCATTTGATATTTTTTCCTTTGCATGAATTTTCGAGGTAGAATATGTATGGCCTCATACACAGAATACTTTGTACATGTATTTAACATTTTTTTTCCAACTCAACGCACATGGGTACTAAATGATTACCATGTTATTAATAATTATTAAAGGTTAAATACGTATAAAGCATATCGTGATATAACAAACACATGTGACATTGATAACTGATTTTTTTTTACTTTTTCAGTTCGTGCTTTATACGTAGGTTAAGATTTTTCGCAGCATCACTTGGAGACGGTTTATCACACATGTATATAAATATTATGCAAAATATGGAGAAAAATTACAAAGAAATTTTGATAATTTTATGCATTTGACACGCAGCAAGTACATGAAGGTACATATATCAAATGTTCTAGAGGTATGATAAATACAGATCCTATTCAGCAAATGTTCAACTTTTCTACAATTGTAAGCACAAAATAAATGTACATGCTACTTCTTCGTACTAATGTCAAAACGACAAATAATAATAAAAAAAATACATGTATTCTTAAAAAGGATTTTTGATCTATTGCACAAAACTATATAGTGAAGCAGGTGCCACAATCTTTCATCTACTTGTTTTCAATACTGTAAACTAATATTAAATAATGAAGTAACAAAGAAAGAACACTATAAATTGTACATTCTACATAATTGTGCATTGAACAAATCAATGGAAATAACAGTACACAATTCAATAGACATAAAGCAAGCATGGATGACAATGCCTTTGTTGCATTCAAGAAACTTTCAAAATTTTCGACCTCAGATTTCACAAGTGTCCTCAGTGTTGCGGTTGAGTGACCACGTAATGGAAAATGTAAACACCTATAGGCACAGATTTATGAATCCAGTCTGCTATTATATAACACATGCAAAGTAAGGATACAAAGGCTTACCTCCGGTGCTGACCCTCTATTACGAAGAATGAAAATAATTTGTTAAGATATCATGTAGAGTTCTAGGCTATATAAACCATTTATCTTTGCTCAGCCCGATTCATCCTGTTTTATTTTAAAAAAAACTACCACCATAGAAGAGAGATTATAAAAACGGCCATCAACCAATAAACCCTCGTAAGTTATTTACCTCTTCGTTCAGAAATAAAAATACCATGCTGAAAGATAGATATAAATGTTGTTAAACTACTAACACCAAAGTAATATTAAACGTGCTGGGACCACATCGAGATTTTATTAGAACTCTAGTGGTAACTTTTACCTTCTTACCCCCAGGACTAGGGGGCACTGGTCTGGGAGGCTGAAAAAATCACAATACCTTGTCTATTGCACTGTAACCAAACAAGTTCTACAAGTCTACACGTCTACCTTATTTGGTGCAGACAATTCTATACATGTATATCAAACTCGCTAAAAGGAATATAGATAACTCAAATTCTACACAACACCTGTTGCATGGTTGTAAACCTTCTTGTGTGCATTTTCGTTAGAAACATTTCAAATGATATTAAGGATACAAAATACACAAAAAATTGCAGGTGTCTTGAGGTCACGTCAAATCATGGCTGATACAAAAATATAATTCCTAAAACTTTCCTTCCGATTCAGACATTTTGACACGAGGCCGGAGATGAATTATTTAATAAAATGACAGACAATATGTAAACTTCCTGTATTGATCAGATTTATTAAAATTCAGGGCGTGCTGATTTTTCTATATTCTTTATTTGAGTGGGGAGTGATTAGGTGCTAGACTTGATTAGCAAGCACCTGCTCGACTTCGACCGAAACAAACTTGCGTGCCTTGTTGGATGGCTATGTATTCTTTTGCTTAAAGTTTAATAAAGAATTGTTTTACAAGATCTGAAAAGGAAACTTCTCAGAAGTTTGTTTTCAATTAATAACATCTACTCAAAGTTACGAATTTTTTGGTAAGAATATATAACAGGATTTAATACATGTACAATTGTGCAAACTAATATATGGATTTGTATATAATTTTTGACTGCATCTGATTAGAAATGACATAAATATCTAAAACATAAATTTAGATTTAAAATTTATCTTTACGACTTTGTGAGTTTTTATATAGGATTTTATACAAAATTTTGCACACATTCTTAACATAGTGACAAAATCTTTCAAAATTCTCCCACTTTACTTGCAAATATTATTCAGGTTGCCTGTCTAAATACTAATCTATTAAAATTGGAAAAACTTCTGTTCTTGTGAAAATAGAAGTTTGTGTTATTTATCCTCAAAACGGGAACATTGTATTGTAAACGAATTTGTCCTATGATTAATCTTTGTTGTGAAATGCTTGAATGAATACCGGTATCCGCTTATGAATGTACAGTGTATGATATGTTTATAATGAATGAGTAAGCACATTTAAAAATATGAATGAACTCAGTTTCCTGCTTCCGGAGATTTCTGGCGATAACATTACATGAGAATATAAAAATACAAATTAATAGAACCACAATAATGAATATGTGTTATATTTCCCTTGAAGGTGCCAACAAAATAAACAAGGAGTCTGCTCCGAATACCTTTTTCAAAACAAGAAATTATTTAGTGTTTAGAAAATGTATTCATATTTACAAACGGCTTCGACAATCTAAGAAGAAACAAATGGTTATACCGATGACTTTGCGTAATGTCTTTATTTTCTCAAAGACAGGAAGCTTTTGTTTCAGCTTGGTTTGAAAAGTTTAATGAAATAAATTCAATACAGATTCCCAAAAGCAAAACGAATCTCCATTCGATAACAATAATTTCATTTGCGTGAATTGTCGAGGTTTATTATGTATGGCCTTATACACCGACTACGTACCTTTGTACATGTAGAACAATATTTTTTTCCAACTCAAAGCACATGGGTACTAAATTATTACATGTACCATGTTATTAATAACTATTTATCTTTGCGCAGCCCGAGTCATCTTGTTTTATTACATTAAAAACTACCACCATAGAAGAGTCTATAAAACGGCCATCAACCAATAAACCCTCGTAATTTATTTACCTCTTCGTTTAGAAATAAAAATACCATGCTGAAAGATGATGAAAATTAAACGTACATGCAAAGTTACAGATATAAATGTTATTAAACTACTAACACCAAAGTGATATTAAACGTGCTGGGACCACATCGAGATTTTATTAGAACTCTAGTGGTAACTTTTACCTTCTTACCCCCAGGGGACACTGGTCCGGGAGGCTGAAAAAATCACAACACCTTGTCTATTGCACTGTAACCAAACAAGTTCTACAAGTCTAAACGTCTACCTTATTTGGTGCAGACAATTTCTATACATGTATATCAAACCAGCTAAAAGGAATATAGAAAACTCAAATTATACACAATACCTGTTGGTTACTGTTGTAAAGCTTCTTCTATGCATTTTCGTAAGAAACATTTAAAATGATTTTAAGGATACATACCACACAAAAGAGAATGTATGGATTTATATATAATTTTAACTGAATCTGATTAGAAATGACATAAATAATAAATACTTTAAATTCAAAGAAATCGTATAAGTCTTCTCTGGTGCATAGATTTGCAACTTTGTGGGTTTTCTATAGAATTATGTACACAATTTTCCACACATTTTTAACACTGGGACAAAATCTTTCAAATTTCTCCCACTTTTCTTTGCAAATATAATTCAGGTTGCATGTCTAAATACTAATCTATTGGAAATAGTTCTGTTTTGTTTAAAAAAATGTGTTGTTTATTCTTCAAACGGAAACATTGTATTGTAAACCAAGTTGTCACGTGATTTACCTTTGTAGTGAAATGCTTGGGCGAGTACTGGTATCTGCATATGAATGTATATGTTTTTAATGAATGAGTGAAAGAGGGGCTTCTATTTGTTACAGTGTGCATGTACTTTATGCCACTTTCACAACACGAAATGAATTTACATGTAGTTGTAAGCCAAAATATACGACTCCATGATAGATACATTTGCTAAGACGGTCATAATAACAACCTTAGAATTTACAAAATTTCCGTCTTAAAATGGGTTTGTTGAAATCCCTGTAACATCAATTTATCTGTCATAAACCCGTCCTCGGTTTAAAGATAAATCTTACTCGGAGCATGCTCTTGAGGATCGAATAAGTCATGAAATATGAAACACCCTGTGCAGGTGATGAAAGGATTCCGATATTACAAGAAAAATAAGAAAAGTTCAAGATGGAAAACTTGAAGTCATTTCGTTTGCCGAACAATTTAGTTGTTAGTTGACCTTTATCGCCTATGGTAAGTACATTGTAAATCATCCAAAATAACCAAATATGAAACATATGGTGGCAGACGGTATGGTATCTTTTTTTTTTTTTTTTTTTTTTTTTTAAATAGAACACTAGGATATATCGAAATGGCATATGGATGAAAGCAACATAGACAATTAGTTATTATAAAATTTTTAAGGAAACGATTTTTTTTAATGTGCAATACGAAAATATTTACTTTCTTATCTAAGTCATTATATAAAAAGGGTTTATCCTTATGTTTATCAACGATAAAGTTAACGGTAAGTGCTGACTTAAACTATAGACGAGATTTTAAATTTTAAAGTGTTAACAAAAATATGTGGCTTAAAAATCCACTCCTCAAGAGTACATTGCTGTTAATGATGGGGAATTATGGGGTATTGCGTTTAAAATTAAATAGAATGACTAATATTATAAATTGATACATTTTAAAAAGATTGTTAAATATTTTTCTGAGGTTGGACGACTTTCTACTTTTAACCTACATTTGTTTGTTTTTCCCTATCAAAGGTAAAAAATCGTGATGGACAATTTAAAAGACCACAGAGAACACGAGCAAAATTGATTATCAACTTGTCTTTTTAAATCATACTTTGAATTTCAAAATAACGATAAATTGTATTTAATGATATTGGTAAAAATAATGACTAAAAATGATAGGAAATTAAAAAATTGTACTAGTGTGTTTAATAGACTTTGTAATTTGACTTGCATTTATGATTAGAATAGACACATAACTAGTCAAAATATTACTTGACTTATATTTTTATTTCTGACTAGTCTTATGTAACGTTTCAGAGCAGACGAGTCATATATTAAGATTAACAGCAGCTACACTCCAAAAGTAAAATTTCACAAAATTTCAGGTCTTTACCTTCATTAAGACAATAACATTGACCTCTCTGTTTGGAATGTAACATAGTTTCTTGAATATGCAGAGCATGATTAAAATTTTCAAATATACGTTCTCAGATTTGAAAATTTCCTTGACACAACAAGGCATTATAATTGTAAAAAATATATTTATTGTAAAATCACAGTTTGTTTTTGTGTGATGTTTGTGTTTCGAGGAAAGATTCATTTCAAATGAACCTATTTGTGGAGGACGTACGAAATCCCGAGAAAATTAGCTATTTCACAATTAAATGCATTACTCAGTTTACTCATTATATCGCGTTACTTCAGCACTATAGAAATTCCTTGTCCATTTTTACCTCTGTGATTATGTGCTTGAAGAGAAAAACTACCAGAATAGTCCGATAAGTGAATACAAGTTTGTTTGCTAATTCTAATATCAATTGTCATATATCTTGGTTCCCCTATTCAACATTTCGATCAATTCATGGGAAATCGGGAAAAACAGAATCTGAAAGAGCCTTCACATTTTAGAAACATAGTTATTTTACAAATTGCAAATCAATCATTTCAGCATTCACACTAACCTTTGGGATTTTATTCCTGGGATCAAATCGACTGGGATCCGTGATGCCGACAAGATTTTGTAATCCAACAGATGTAGTATGGAGTTCTGATTTTTTGACAACATTCATGTTGCATACTGTAACGGCTGGAAATTGAAGACTATTAAATCCCAAAGAAATTTTAGTCTGAACGGGCAATTCCAAAAACTGAGATATGAGATAAACGAGATGGAATATCATCCAGCCAAATGCCACCATGAGAAGGAACACCCATATAGCCTTAGAATACCAGAATCTCGCAGAGTTTATATACCCAACTCCCTGCATGGCGGTTTTATCGGCGAAACGTCCGCAGAGCTTCCTAAGGGATTTTCTTTTCTCCATGGAGTTGGCAAAAGAACCATTATCCTCACCATCATCCCTATAATCCTGAAATTACATGTATTTAAAAAAATATGGAATAAATCATCTCAATATTCAATATTGAAATACAATTTCTAAAAGAGGAAACATTTGATATTTTGGAAACTGTGTATCTTGAGAATGCGAAATTTCACGTCTATTGCACAAAATCAAACAGAGAACGGGTCGCCTGGCGAGATGGTCGATTTTTTTTCAAACTTACAATTTTGAAATTCTTTTATAATACTGAGCCAGTTTTGGTTGATGCTGCTAAGTAAAACGACACGCCTCCAAAATAGCGTCAGTTTAACCTGACCTTCAAGACGAAGAACCCGGTATATAAGCACTCTCTACCATCGGCTCATACATTCACCTCTGTCGTTGGCTCGCGTATATCACAGTGATAAACACAAGAAATAGTGTTTTAATTCATTATAATTCAATTTCTATTCTTATGTCTGAGTTTTGAGGTAGATATTTACTAAATAAATCCAGAACTATTATTTTAATTTGAAAAAATCCTGCAAATATCACGTTTTATACGTTATGCCAAAAATCTTGACGTGAGCCCATTGCAGAGGTGTCTGAGAGAGGAACGAACGACAACTCTGCAATGGGAGATTGGTATATAAGCAGCACTGTTTGACGCCGAGAAACGGTACGTTGACTTAGATCCAGTTCAAAATTTGCTACAAAACACTATTTAAGCTGCGAGCAAATCATGAATACTGTGGAATCATCAATATTCGTGGGGGTCCAATGTTCGTGGATTTCGTGGGTCTACCTTATCCACGAATTTACTTCACCACGACAATTATTTTGACAACATATTTATCCATTGAATCCTTTATATGTACGGGTTACCAACGAAGTTACGTGCCCACGAACCAACAAAATTTTGCTTACCCACGAACATTGGCCCCAACGAATTAAAATGATTCTACAGTACTCAAAGTGAAGTCGTTTCTTTGTTTCCCTTGATACAGACATCTTGAGGTCTTACCATGACTCCCTTATGTCAGGTCATCCTGGTCATGAGTGAACATACTATTCGACTCACAAAATTCCAAACTTTAACTTTGGCTTTAACTTTTGAACGGTAGATACTAGGACTTTCATACTTCACACATGTATTTTTTGTGACAAGACCTTCCGTTGGACACCAACATCTTTGACCCTTTTTCCTTGACCTTAGAGATAAACGTACTTTAAAAGATCTTTAACTTCGGCAATAACTTTTGCACGGTAAAGGCTAGGACTTCATACTTCACATATGTATTCCTAATTCCTTGTAGGAACAGCTTTTAGTAGATACCAAAAACTTGCACCTTTGACCTTGGAGTTTAACCTACTTTTTAAAAACAAACATTGACCATAAATTTTGAAGGGTTAGGACTAGGGCTTTCATACTTCACATAATTAATCCTTGTGACGAGACCTTTCATTGGATACGAACAACTTTTTCCCTTTGACCTTGACCTTGGGGTTTGACCAAATTTTTAAAAACTTTAACCGTGGCCATAACTTTTGAACAGTGAGGGCTACGGCTTTATGTAATCCTTGTGACAAGATCTTTCTTTAGATACCAACAATTTTGACCTTGACCCTGGAGTTTGACCTACCTTCAAAAACGTATTCTTGGCCATAACTTTTGTACAGATAGTGCTAGCTAGGGTTTTCATATTTCATGATTGTATTTTTTTGTGAAAAGACCTTACTTTTGGTACCAACATATCTAATTTGCATTTAAGAAAAGTTTAATCTTCGCTATGTTGCCATTACGGGGGAATCAGTGTTTGACAAACACATCTTGTTTTCTTATTTTCACATATGGTGTCGGATGAAAAAGTCAAACAGAGATACAAAATGATATAAAAACAAAAAAATGTTGAGATACAAAATGATACAAAAACAGATAAAAAAGTTTTGATAGTTTAACGAGAGAAAAAAAACACTGTCAACGGATTTTTGGCTCATATCTGTACTTAGATTGGAAGCATTTAAAAGCTAACATAATTGTAGTTTGTTTGGAAAATCATATTTATCTGATATATTTTGAAACTTTAGTCTCTTATTATTAATTTAACTTACATTTGAAAAATTCTTCAGGTCTTGTGTAAAAATTATAACTAAATCATTATTCTATTATAATTTTGAGAATCAGAAAAGAAGATATTTTCATGTGGCCCCATTCCGAAAAAAATATAGTCCCTGCTAGATTTCAAATTCAGTTTACCATATCTTTTTAAAGTTGTACAACTGTGATGAGAAAAGAAAAATATGATCTTTTAAATTTCTTACTTCTAAATATATGAAATATAAGCAAATATTTATTGAAATTTCATCTAGTCAGAAACCAAGGAAGAATCCTACCTTTATAAGACCGGAAACTAATCTTTCTTCATATTTAATCTTAACTAGATATCTTACTTTCTTAGTATAAAATTGGCTTCACATCATTTGTTTGCTGAGTCCAATAAATTCTCAGTTAAACTTTATATTGGTCATTCTTATATGATTTTCATCGCCCATTTGACTCAGTGTTTAGAGTGATTCTCTATAAATTCGCGGAGTAAGGAGTTGATCCTTACATCGCGGGTTCGAACCATGTACAGCGCGTGGATACCGATCCTTCGGATAAGCCCATATAAACCGATGTCCCTTGTCACAGCTGACCCTAATAAGATCCATCTCTTCTCAAACGCCGTAAGTGCCAAGTACAAGTCGAAATTGCATTCTTCCACCGGCAAATGGTGGAGTCTCAACATGAGTGAAACATTCTGGAAGGGACGTTAAACAGACAAGTAAACTATATGCATGTCCTGGCAAAATAACATTATATTCTCGGCTTTGTGTTCCACTCAAACTACTAGGAAGATAAATTGAATTTCTTTCAAAAGTTTATTATGGAAATATATTTTGCAGTTGCTGTGCCAATAGATCACACAATATTATATCCGTAAAATGATGCATTTAATTTGAAACCTTCTTGAGATATGACAAAGATTAAGTTAGAAGCTCGCAGATGTACAGAAAGAATCTAAAGGAGATCGGGTTAAGTTTTCAGAAAATGTACAATTTTAAATAGAACGTGCCAGCAATACTGACCTTTTTTGACTTGAATAATTTTTTGTCAAGCTTTTAAATAGTTTTAAATATCATTATCTGATGTGTGGCAGACATATATCAGAAAAATAGAAAGAACAAAGAAATATAAAACTTCACAAAAATACGAGAATGTAAATACCTGGTAGGTATATCCTGTTGCATACGAGTATTTAAAATGTCCATCCTCCTGTCTTATCCTCAGAATCTGACTTACTCAAATTCTCTGAATATTATGTGAACACATCATTTCCTATCGATTCGATTATCTAGTATGTTCGTTAAATTTTCACTTCAACTTGTTTACTTTAAGCATGAAATATAAACAATCAGTACATCGAAATGATGTTAAAACCACGAAGTTGTCTTCGATTTTACGTACCTCCTTCCTCTCTCCATAGTCCACAGGGGGGTCAATGTTGTAGGGTCTGTAAACCCTGTCTGTGGTTGGAGCACGGCCACCCAGTGTATCATATTGCTCAGAAGGAGGGGATCGAAAGTCCCGGGGGTCGGGATATTTTGATCTCATGTATTCCACCTCCCTATCCGCCCTATATAGCCCTCTTCGTCCACTGAGATTGCCCTGGGTGTACATGATTCGCTGGTAAGCGTCCTCAGTGCATTCAGAAGATTGCTGTAAAAATTCTGTTCTTAGTATTACTGTTATTCAACTATAGTTGTATTAACGTATTGATGACATGATGTCTTAGAATTCTGCACAATCATAAAATGTTTTCTTTTTTTAATCCGACGTCACGAAGTAAACTAATGACCGATCACAAAGCCGAGAGACACATGTTTAAAAGTCTCTTGCGTTTACTCTGTTTAGTCAACCATCACACTTTTATAAACTGGAAACAAGAAGACTTTCTAAAGTTTACAAGGTCACCCCTACTAATGTGTTCGGAACCTTTCCTTTTTCGGTGTTCAGCAAATTATAAAACCCGATGAGTTCAGAGTAGCTCTGACAGTGGCTCTGGCGAGAGTTAGCGAGACTTTAGCGAGATAGGGTAAATTATTCACGGAAATGTGGCTAGGAAGTGACTAGCACGTGGAGACATGGTAAACAGAAAAGTTATGTTGCGTTTTAGTTTTCACCAACCTATAATATCATTCTGTAGAGATGTACTTCAATAATCGATCTCTCTTGAATTCATTCAAGATTAAATTATAAGTATTCTCTATGATACAATTTTTTGCTGTCATGAATTAAAATTCCCTTTTGGACAAATATTTTGCATGGGAACCGGGACTATATTTTTTGGCGTCAGATTAGCAAATGAGGCACCAATGTGACTTTAACTGACAAATCAGCTGAATGAGAATTGCATCATGGGTTACTACGAATACTACAGGAATTTTACGCTTGATAAATTCCTTTATTGTACTATCGGTGAATACAATTGTCAGGTAGATTCCCTGGCCAACATACGTGATCACGAGTATAGTTGTGTAAAAAATGTTTTGTCCATTTAAATGCATACGAGAAGCTGCTTGTTTTCCTTACCCTTGAAGTGCTGGTGTACTGAACTTGACACTAACTACGTATACATTTTATAAAACATATTTTTCTCTAGTTAACAACAAATTAAAAACGCCCGTGAGCCCCGTGATATCTTTCATAGTTTCTAATGTTTGCATTTTGTTCATAAGAGCATTTCTTTTTATTTTAAACTCCATTGACATGCTCATAGATTTACCTGAACCACGTGTTCGAAGTAACAATGTAAACATGTATTTGGCGTAAACGTATTCAATCAACAATTGGTCAGTTGCTCGTGGTAAGATCCTCTGTGCGCATTAATAGTAATAGCCATATAAGGAAAACAAAGGTTTGTCAGTGTAGATGATATTACACATTTTTTTTTTACCAGTGTATCGGTCGCTATTGAGCTGTAATTTTTGCAGTAAACGATGATGTTATTCACCCCCCCCCCCCCCTTTAGTCACCCATTTGTGTTGAAAATCATAAAAGTCTTTCAGAAAGGTCTGGAAACACATTTTTCACAGGACATGTTTTCAGAGGAAACAGACTATAGCAATTTCCTGTTTACTGCCAAGTTTATTTATAAAACCGGTTCTACCCTACAACCTTTGAATAGGTAATCCTGAACCACGTGTCTTGAATTTAAATCACAATAACATTAGTAGGGGTGAAGGTACCTATTGACAGTTTCAATCGTGTCAGTGGACACAATACGCATCTAGAGTGGTAAGCCTCTATCAGGTTTCGTTCATTAATACAAATATTACTGAAGCAAAGGACAGGCACTTAAATATGAAGTTTTCTTAATGGACATTGCAAACAACAGATTAAATCTTTTGTACACTGGACTTTTAATGGACCTCCATCATTATTGTACAAACAGAAATTGTCAATATTTTACCATTTAATATTAGCTATACCATAACAATAGGAGGTTTATTGCATTAGTGTAAAAGGTATGCATAAAAGATGTTCTAATCGACACCGTGACTTTGATTTTATACTTACTAGTATTTCCTCCGGGAATTTTTAAATTTTCATTAGACCTTAAATCATTCATCACAACAAAGCGTGGATATGAATATCCTGAGTATAGCTTCCAGCTTAACCATTCTTGCTTCCATTCATTCAATAAAGACATGCCACTGTGGGACTCTGTTACGATCATTAAAGTTCGTAACATAATATGCATATGAAAGCGGGATATTAATTTAATACATAAATAAGGAACGTTGACGAGAGAGAAAGCTGAGGTCACTCCGTCTGTAAGACAGTGATGTTGTTATTGGGTCTTTATCATCTATAGTCAGTAGAACGTCCAAATTTGAAGCAGACGTGACAAACATAAGAAAGACGTAAGATTTCTGCATGTCTGAAATATACTAGTATACAATTATATAATGTGCATTTAATTTTATCTATATTTGAAACATTGGTTTACTCTATGGGAATTTCTTTTCAAATGCATGTAAAAAGAAGTTATAAAGAAGAATCACAGTATAATGTACATTCAAATATGTTAATACGGTCAACTGCGAAAAGAATACATACATTTAATATAATATGATTATTTTTTTAAATCCACTTTAAAACAGTGATACATTTGTCAAATGAATAAATAGGGAAACATTTCAATACAGTGTATACTGAAGTAAATTAATGATTTGAATTTATAATTAAAGACAGACATTTTCTTGACTTCCAGGTTAATTTACATTTAGCTAAAAATAGAATGAAAAGAATTCTAAAGTTTTTTTAACCTGCAACCGAATTCTACTTAAGCACTGAAAGAAAAACCTAGAGAATTTAACTAGTGTGCCTCATAAAGCGTTTGTCGTGATACTCAATTTACTGGCTAAGATAGTGAGTTGTGAAGCGGGGTTCGTATAGATACCTAGTGAAAGTTACTTATCAATTCTAGATTTACTAATCGTATCTAGTAAATATACCCAATACCTAGTAAAACTTCTTTTAAGGTAGTATATTTATGGACAGTAAATTTTCCAGTCTTCTAAGTGACTTTAACTATGTAGTTATTGTCCCCCGCTTTCGCGAAAGCGAGGGAACATTAAATCTCATTCGTCTGTCCGTCAGTCTGTCAGTCTGTCCGTCACAAAAACGTTAACCTTGCCCATAACTTTTGATTTGGTGGAGCTATGACTTTCATATTTCACATGTGTATTCCTTGTGACAAGACCTTTCTTTGGGTAACACCAAATTTGACCATTTGACCTTGACCTTGGAGTTTGACCCACTTTTAAACCAAAATTCTAAACTTTTACTTTAGCCATAACTTTTGAATGGTAGGTACTGGGACTTTCATATTTCACATATGTATTCTTTGTGGCAAGACCTTTCATTAGACCAACAACCTTGACCTTTTGACCTTGACCTTGGAGATTTACAAACTTATGAGAAAACTTTAACTTTGAATTTAACTTTTGAACGGTAAGGGCTAAGGCTTTCGTACTTCAAATATGTAATCTTTGTGAGAAGACTTTTCATTGGATACCAAGAACTTTTACCCTTTGACCCCCTTGACCTTGGAGTTTTAACTACTTTTTAAAAACTTTAACCTTGGTCACAACTTTTAAACGGCAGACACTAGGACTTTTATTTTTCACATATGTATTCTTTTTGGCAAGACCTTTTACTGGATACCAACAACTTTGACCTTTTGACCTTGACCTTGGAGATTTACGTACTTATGAGAAAACTTTAACCTTGACCATAACTTTTGAACGATGAAGGCTAGGGCTTTCGTACTTCACATATGTAATCCTTGTGAGAAGACCTTCCATTGGATACCAAGAACTTTTACCCTTTGACCTTGACCTTGGAGTTTTAACTACTTTTTAAAAACTTTAACCTTGGTCACAACTTTTGAACGGTAGATACTAGGACTTTCATATTTCACATATGTACTGTTTGTGGCAAGACCTTTCATTGGAAACAAACAACTTTGACCTTTTGACCTTGACCTTGGACATCTCCGTACTTATGAAAAAAATTTAACTTTGGTCAAAACTTTTGAATGGTAAGGGCTAGGGCTTTCGTACTTCACATAAATTATGTAATCCTTGTGAGAAGACCTTTCATTAGATTCAACACCTTTGAACCTCTCATCTTGACCTTGGAGTTGACCTACTTTTAAAAAACTTTAACTTTGGCCATAACTTTTTAACGGTTAGGATTAGGGTTTTCATCTTTCACATATGTATTATTTGTGACAAGACCTTTCTTAAAAAACCATCAATTCATACCCTTTCACGTTGGAGTTTAACCTACCTTTCAAAACTTTATCCTCGACTATAAATTTTGAACAGGTGGTGCAAGGGATTTTGTATTTCACAATCATATTTCTTGTGAGGAAAACCCTACTTTGGGTAATAATATATTGAATTTACATTCGAAAAAAATTTAATCTTCGTTATGTTGCCATTCGGGGCCATCAGTGTTTCACAAACATATCTTGTTTCTTATATTGAGAAGAGATAGGGCTTTCATATATGACATGTGCATTACCTGTGACAAGATAATTCCGATTATGCTATGATTTCTTACCCCTTAACCTTGACCTTCACGATTGACCTTATTTAAAAAAAAATCAACTTCAATGATAATTTCTAAATAAATGACATATGATAGGGTGTTCATATTAGACACAATATGTCATGAAAAATAACATCTCACCCACAAAGACACCAAAAGCGGGGGACCACAATTCTTTGAATTTGCTTGTTTTTTTTTTTTTTTTTTTTTTTTTTTTTTTACAGCGAGTGAAAACTAGAGGTACTGTGAGCAATGAGCTCACTAAATGATACCCCCCGCCTCCCATATGGTTATGACTGATGACAAAGTCCATGTTTTGCTGTGGCCGGGAAACCCAAAATATGTGTCGGATCAAAAAGTAAAATAGGAGGTCACAATGGCAATATGTAATAAAGATTCTGTGAAAGTTTCATTAAATTTCACTCAGAGGTATAAGAGGAGTTGCGGATAAGAGATGGGTACCCTAAAGCGTAACAGACGGACGTACAGACGGACGGACGGACGGACGGACATACCAATTACAGTATACCCTCCCATTTTTCAAGCGGGGGGTATAATAATATTAGGCAGAGAGAATCGGAGAAGAGGGAGGAATTGCCCCCCTTCTTTCTGAATATAAATTTTAGCAATTTGTAGTTTGAAAATTTTCACTAAAAGTCTCGTTACCACACCCTCTTTTTTATATAGTACAGTTAAAAAAATTTTTGGCTACTTAATTGGACAAGGGGAACATAACAATC